CACAGTCTGGAATTGTACTTCGAGACACCTGGAAGAGAGATGCCTTTAGACGTGCTGGGTTCGAATCCTGACTCCATGATGGACGAGCTACATGGTTTGGGACAAATGCTGCATCTTCAGCCTCCTCACCTGCACAGCGGGAAGGGCAGTCACACCCACCCAATCAGGTTGTTGGGAGAACTAAGTGAGGTCGTGTGTGATGTGTATTATAACGTGCTTAGCACCATACCTCGCACAGTCTATGATCAGGGAATGGTAGTTCTCCCAGCCACCTGCCTGTCTCTTCCTTTCTGAGGAGAATTTCCTGGCTGGGGGACTAGAGGCCCGCCTGTGTGAACACTCAATGGGTAAGATCGCTGGGGATTGGCCAGTTCCACGAAAACTCTGGGTATCCCCATCACATCAACGGTACCAGTTTTATTTTTGGAGACGATGTAAACAATCTGGTCAATTGCTACTGCAATCTTAAAGATAATCTTCCTTAACCATACCTAACCCTAAGCAATTTTACGGCGTGGAAAATCTTCGCATGAGTACACTGAAGAGGTCTCAAATGAGCATTCGAATGAATACAAGATGAATGAGCCCATGAATATATATGTAAAATGTTAAATGAACGTTGAAGACCTGGGGAGGACCATTTTCACATCATAACACTGCCATTACCCTGGAAGCCAGCCCTTGGATGAGATGCTTTCCAAAATTTGTACTTCTGTTCCCTCCTCCTTCCTAATGGCCATATCCCCAAAGCAGCATCGCTGATATGGGAAGCCAAGAGCAAAGACTGGTGAAATCAGCAGGTGCCCCCACTGTGTGCCAGATAATTTTGGAGCAGGTAAAGTCATTAAGGAAAATTTTAACAATGTATAACCTTTCAGCTTTACTGGGCTAACAGCAGGTACCTTGCCTTGCAGAAGCATGAGTCTGCACTGAAGTCACCAGCAAGCAGGACTTGACCTTCATTTTCAGTATACGCAGTATTAAATATTCATAATCCACATAACTGTAGCATAAGAAGTAGCTGAGTTTAAACCCATGAATCAAAGGAATAAATATCTCCCCAAAGGTGAGTCATCCTTTCCAAGAATGCCCCTGGAAAAAAATGCAAATACCCAGGGCCTGGAGCCGCTGTCTCTTCCAACTTTCTCTTGAAATTCTAGAAGCAGCAGGAACTGCTGCATTATACAACCCGTGAATCCTGCCCTCACGCTGGCATCGTTGGGTCTTTTTTTTTTTTTTTTCTTATCTATTAGAGAAGAATTACTGTTCCTATGTCAAAGAGAGGAAACAGACAGGGATGGAACCAGCAATGGTGACATTATTACCCACAGGGTGTCTGGGGCACTTTTGACTCGGTTGTACAATTTTTAAAAAATCTTTGCTTCACAGAGTATCAGAGCGTGTGGGAGGAAAGGGTCGGCATAGAGATCAAGAGACATCAGAATTAGGAGCTGGAGTGGCATATGCTTTAAATTGGGCAGAACACCTTTAAAAAGAATGAAAAAGAAACAGAGTTCTTTTGGGCAATATCTGCGTCCTGTGGCTAATTTAGTATCTTTTGAGAGATGGGGTTACTGTGTTTGGAGGGCTTAACGCTTCTCTGTGTCTGTAAGGAATTGACACTTTTGTCTATCCAAAGACTTGGAGGAACAACTCCCTCTGCTTGGGTATTTCTAGAGAGTCTACCGCTGGGATGATGAAGCATAATTTTAACACAGTTTAACGTAATTCTCTTTGGCTTTCAACTCCAGGAGCTCTGAGCGCAATCTGTCTTAGCTAGATAGCAATCACTCGAGGCTGTGCAAGTGATTCTTCTGTGGCGATCACTCTAGGAAAATTAAGACCCAAAGAAGGGCTCCTCAAATCCTTGAATGAAAAAGAGCTGCTCAGGGACCTATCTTGGCCTAACAACGGGAAAGGAAAGATGTGTAGGAGAGGCTCTTTGGAAATGACTTACCCACTGCCTCTTGATAGTACAATAAGCTTGGAAAGGTGAACAAGATCAGAGAGGCACCAATTATGACACGTATCTGAACTGCCTTCCCTACCTGCTGCCACACAGAAAGGGAATAACCAAACCACCCAGCCTGCCAGCCCATTCACACGACCTGAATCAGCCTGCCTGACACTGAGCCTGCAGGGCAGACCACCAGAGCATATTTCATATATTAATCTGCCTCTTCAAGGGGCTGGGTGCAGAGTCTTACATCTTGAACTTGTGCTGTGGAGCCTTCCCCACCATTGTTGGGGAGGCCAGCGCTGATTAAAATTCACTGAGACAAGCCACCTCACAACAGTGTCTGCCCAATTAAGCTCATACAAAGGGAAAGCCTGTAGATTTATTTATTTGACTGATATATTTGAAGGGCATAAATGCTAACAAAAATTGGTCTGAAGAATATTAGGTTTTTCCAGGGAGATAATATAGTGTAATGTCCCAAGAGAAGTTTAAAGGTCTCTTTCCGAGATGCCCAAATGGCCAGCCAAACCACCAGTGTGTCCAATCGATGAGAGTTTGAATGGGAAGATGGATTTTAAGAATTTACATTCAGCTTTCTTACACATTTTCCTTTGCATCTTATATGTGGATAGAATTTCATTTTCTCTTGTTTACTCTGCTTGATTACAATGTCTCATAGGTTCTTTTTTTATTCCTGGGAATCTATGGACTTGCCATAAAGGTTGTTTTACAGATTCTACTTCTTCCCCTTACTTAATGTGCGCATGCTTCGCGACTACCCCCAGGAAGATGGAAGACTCCTTGGTGTTGGCTGTGCTGATCAGGTCGCCCACAGGGCAGAACCTTGGCAGATGGCTATAACCAAACGTAGTAATGCAAATGAGAAGTGGAAGGGCTGACAGAAATAAACATAAGGTCTTCTTATAAACCAAGTCTCACTATGCCAAACCACACAGGTCAGTCACAGAGAAGAAGGACTGAGGCTAGGACAGTCCCCAGGGAGAATGGGGACAAGCTTGGTTCCAAGATTATTGACATTTTTGCTGAGAAAAACAGAAAATAGGACTGACTGCCCATCTTTGGAATAGACTCTTTGCAAGTCCATAAAAGAAACCACAGCCAGAGAGGGCTCCCAATGCTGGCTTTCCCAAGACTTAGCAAAATCATAACAAAACCCGAAGAACACTGCAGTGCTGCAGGGTATCCAGGGAAGGGGCTCTTTGCTTTGGGGAATTCCATTCCTTTCCATCCTCTTAGGTAGAGCCGAGAACACCAGAATCTACAGAACAAAAGACTACCTCTCATAGACACTGTAAAAAAGGACACAATTCAAATCCATCTAACAAGAGCATTTTATTTCTGAGAAATACAGAGGAGCAGAAAGGCTGGGGAAGGGAAAGAAGGTGCCGAGGCATCTCTCCTAACCGATCACCACACTCACCTCCATGTAAGGGTTTGCTCGGTCTGGGGCACACATTCTACATGCCCAAACCCATTTCCTGAGCCTGGCATGGAAGTTGACAGGGTATGCACCCCCTGACATGTGAGAACACTCCTCACTCCTGGGAAGAGAATGGAGAAATAAGACCAGGGCTTTAGAAGATCTTTGGTTCAATTCAAATATGATCCAGAATCATTAAGAGTAGATATTTAGAAGAGGCTTACCTTCAATGACATACCAGTTGGAGTTTTCCAGACTTAGGCAGCCCTTCTCTTTCTTGACCAGGAAGAGCTGATGGAGGGAGCGTGTAGAATCTTGTCTCCTGGAGGACTTTGAAAGGACCCTCCACCTGAGGTGGATGAGGGCAGTCCAGCCTTGTGCATGAGGTCGGGCTGAAGGATCTCTGATATTCTCAGACTTGGTTGATCCCCAGAGGTAAGTGATTAAAGGGATGCTTTCTTTATTTTCCCTGACATGGCATTTTGGCCTCAGCACCCAACTGCACAAAATCCTTTGGATGGTGACCAGATGCCTCTGAGAAATTCAGAATTTAGGCGTGCATGAAATTACTACCATCCTGAGCCACAGAAAAAGAGCACTAAGCTCAGAATCCAGGCACACCAGGGTCTGTGCCAACAAGGACACAAAGCAGGTTCCTGGAATCAAACTCTAGTAGGCAGCCATACCACGGATAGAGTTCAAAGAGGTGAAAACACTCTCACAGTGGACAATGAAGGCAAAGAGTTCAAGTTCATGTCACCACAGAAAGGCGCATCAGACCAGCTCGGCTCCAGCCTCAAGCTTGCAATAGAATAGTTGGAACAAATGAGGTACCCTGGGGTGACACCTGCAGGAACCCAGGCAGAGTGGGCCACCACCTAGCAGTTCTGCTCGGTGACCTCTTCTGCCTCCTATAAAGTCTTAAACGCTGTCACAAGACCCCACGTCAGGCTCACCCTAGAGTACCAGTTCACTCAGCTCACACCCCAGGGGTCTGCATGAATGTCCGCTCTAGGAAATCCTAGATGGCCGTAGGCCTGCACCTCTGGGAGTCGCCATGAACTCCATCCCATCTGTTACCTTCACAAGTCAAGAAGCACCAACTAGCGATGCTCCCACAGAATATTCTGCTTGATAGTGGCAAAGGACAGAGCCATGCTTCCTAATCTGAACTCCGATAAGATTAAAGCATCAGAAACCCTAATGAGATGAGGACCTTACATCCATGGCAAGAATGGCTCAGGCCCATGTTGGCTGGATACTTGGAACCCTCCCAGTGGTTGGACACTCATACCAAAGCCCTCTTAACCTCTCGACATCTTTAGTATAAATACTTCAACAGGACACAGCTATTTCAAAATAAATAATACCCAGCAAAAAGGCTTACCCTCAGGTACCTCTCCCTCCCCCTTGTGCCAGCTGAATCAAAGTAACCTTCCTTGTGTAAGCTTATTTTCCCCTTCAGAAAACCAACACAGAGCTGCCCTGCCTTCCTTTTACAGCCTTCTAAATTTTGGTGTTAAAGTAAATGGATTGATCAATGCAGAGGCTCATGATTGTTTTAGCAAAGAGGGCAAGACAATGTATTTGAATACTCACTTTGACGAATCTATGAAGTATATTACAAGTGCACCAATGCTGAGAGCAAAGACTAAGACAACCTGCAAAAGAAGAGGAATATGTCATCACTTAAGAGCCAACACCGAGAGGCTTTGTGTTTGGTTTTGGGGGTTTTTGTTTTTTGGTTTTTTAAATTTTATTTTATTATGTTATGTTAATCACCATACATTACGTCATTAGTTTTTGATGGAGTGTTCCATGATTCATTGCTTGCGTATAAGACCCAGTGCTCCATGCAGAACGTGCCCTCTTTAATATCCATCACTGGGCTAACCCATCCCCCACCCCCTCCCCTCTAGAACCCTCAGTTTGTTTCTCAGAGTCCATCGTCTCTCCTGGTTCGTCTCCCCCTCCGATTTTGACACATGCGGCAGCAGCTGGGAAGCAGGGTTCCGACTGCCTTCTGGGGCCAGCTTGGGAATCTCAGCCCCCTGGAGGTCCCCACAGGATGCCCTGATGTGGCCTCCGCACCTTGCAGTGGGCAGCAACCTCAGTGCTGGCCAACAGGGGTCAGGCCAGACTCTTGTATCTGTGGCGCTGGGTTTCATCTGGCCCTATCATCAACAGCATCTAGCTTCTCTGCAGCTGAAGTCAGCACTCTCCAGTGGGAAGGGCAGGTAAACATTTAGGGTAATACAATGGGTCATATTATGTGCAACCTCGGCCAGAGGAACTCAAATATGGGAATATCAATTTTTCACAGCTCTGCTAAGATACCACTTACATACCATAGAATTCACCCATTTTAAGTATACGATTCAATGACTTCAAGTGACCTGACCGAGTGGTACAGCCATTCCTGTCATCTAGTTTCGAACATTTTCGTCAATCCCAGTAAGACCCCTCACACCCATGAACAGTTAATCCCTGCTCCTGCCCCCAGCCCTAGGCAACGCCTGATTTACTTCCTGTCTCCAGGCAAGAACCATCAATTTGAAAAGCACAAATTTGCTGCTTGTACAAATGTGTGTGTGTGTGCGTGTGCGCACGTGTGTGTGCCTGTGTAGTTACAACACTTCTCAAGTATTCTGGAAATGGTTTAGGTGAGGAAAGCCAAATTCGGTAATACATCAGAGCCAGCTACACGAGAATCCTAGTTCATCTTTACACTCTTCACTCAAAATTAATCGCCATTGACATGAAAGACAGTCTGGCACATCCTCCAAAGGATGCCTGTCACACTGAAGCCCATCAAGTGCATGTGTCGCAGCTGAGGCTGACACTGACACTCTCCATTCTAGTTTGTTTATTTAGGCTTTCACAGAGGAGACCAGTAGGGCAACTAAATGGATGCTCAGAAATAAGAAAGATGCAAAGATTGGAAACAAAAGTAAACACCACTGCCAAACACACCACCAACAAATACCTTTCAGATGCGCTAATATCCAAAAGGGACTTTGGATGAAAAGAAGTGTCAGTCTCCTCAGAGTATCTACATATTGCCATCCCTGACATCAGCTGGTGGAGAGAGATGAATCCCAACTTACGTAATGACTGGGCACGGTCAAGCTGTGTGTGTGTGTGTGTGTGTGTGTGTGTGTGTGTGAGAGAGAGAGAGAGAGAGAGAGAGACAGAGAGACAGAGAGACAGAGAGAAAGGATCAAACACACATATCTGTATTGTGTGTGTGCACCACAGCGGTGGAGGGGAAATGAAATCTGCATACGGTATTCACTGAAAACATTGCAGAACCCCATGGAGCTACTGGACAGACAGCCAACCACACAGTAAACAATGACAAACAGCCCGACATTGCAGAAGGAAGACACAGCCTCATAGCACCTGACAAACTAGCCTTATGAAAGGAAGTGGTAAAACAGTACACCACTGGGGCTTATTTAATTCTTCCATTTTGTCTCAAAAACTAAACCACGCTGCAGCTGAATCCAAGGTAACACTGCAGTCTGCTGGCAATCACCATCTCTTCGGTGCTAATCCCCTTGGCAAGCTCACCCCAGGCTCTCCCCTCACACTCACTCATTCATTCTTTGCAAAATCATCCACAAAAACAAACAAAGACATAAACAAGCTTCGGCTTTTCCCTCTATTATCTGAATGAGGCAGCAAAACAAATAGCTTAAGATTAATTTTGATCTGGTTGCTATTTCTGAGACATAAGCAGTTAGATCCTGGCCCCGACCTCATTCTCAAAATGCTGCAAAGAGAAGGGGCGTGGCCAGGACACAGGGGAAGAACCTCTTCTTCATTCATAAACAGCTGACCCAAGACTAATCTCTGTCAGCTGGGCTATGTGTGTGTGTGTGTGTGTGTGTGTGTGACTGCTGAGCTTTGGTCAGAGCAGACTATACAGGCCAATGAGGGGAGGGCAGGGCAGGGCAGGGCAGGGACGCAGGGGAGAGGGGAGAAAAGAGGATAGAAGCCCTTGCAAATGGCATCTACATCATTATGAAACAAGCTCAGAATCTAAGCTCTCCTGCAATGGTAAGGATTTCCCAGCACTGGGGGGCCAGACGAAGTAGCTGACACTAATTTGTCCCAGTTGCCTTCACTCGGCCTCTGTGATGGGGAATAATGTGCAGCTTATTTAAGCAAATCAGCCAGTGACAGGAGGGGAGGACTCCTGCTAGCTTCTTAAGATGCAAACTCAAATATCAGCATCTCTCTGATAGGGTAAGGGAGGGAAGAAATCCAAGAGGAAAATGACCTCCAAGAGCTGAAGATCCTGATGAGTGAACCTATTCTTGGGTCCCCATGTTCAGACGGAAGGCTTACTCTTGAGGAGGTATAGGGTGCCCAAACTGTTCCACCCACCTGCCTCCAGGGCTGAATGATCAATGGGGAGGGGACCAGCTTCTCAGGATTAAGGCAACTGTGCATGTGATTTTTAAACTTGCTAAATGGCCCTTTATCATGTCAGGCTTGATTACATTGTCAACCTGGATCCAGGTGCTGCAGAAAATGAATCAACCCTTTGGATTACGCCATGAAAAGAGGAGTCCAACGGACTCATCTTCTACGGGGCCCTGGCAAAGGACTAGCAAGTGCTCACTCTCTCTCCATCTCTTATCTCTCTCTCTCTCTGATAAATCCCCCACTGTCTGAGAAATCTTCTCTAAATATGACAAAATTCAGTCCAACTACACAAAATGGTTAGATTTTTAGCCTAAATGCTAATGGTTATGTTATAGAGCACCCCCAAATAATTATCTAAGTATTTATTTCACATCTGCTCTACTCGAAGCCCTAGGAAACATGGAAAAAGTCCACTTGGAGTCATGAAATAATACTTCTTTGTGGAGTAATCCTTACATAGTAACCAATGTTATGTTATGCAATTAGTGCTCAATTGTATGGCATAGGAATAGTCAATCTGTAATAAGGTATTGACTAGGTAGAGATATAAATGGGAGAAGAAGTTGGGGATGGGCAGGAACCATAGGGGCTCTTGTCTCAACATGCTCTTTGTTCTCAGTGTCCCTTCTTCCTACCTGTAATGACTACTCCAGCATTCCTTCAGTAAGGGGGAAGCCAATGGGAGTCCTTCCATGTGCCTCGATAGTCCCAGGGATAAAAGGCACTGAAGCCCAAGGGACATGGTAAAATGAGGCCAAGAGAAGCAGAATACCCAAGATGGAGAAACACTAGCCCTCCTGCAGCGGAGGCACAGAAGACCTCTTACAATAACCAAGCACTTTACCAAGTGCTGTCGCAAACAAGACCTTGTAAACACAGTCTGATATATGGGACAGTATGAGCATTCCCTCTCTCAGCACACTGTGTGCTGACCTCTGCCAGAGCCTTTCTAGCTTTTCACAGACTGGGGTCACCACCAGATCACTGCGGCTACCTGGGACAGTGCGAACTGCCATATTCTTAGCTTGACTGAAAATACCTACAAGCTATGAGGTGATATCAAGTACTGAGCGATATTTATGGAGGTGCCAGATACCTAACAAAAGTGATTTGATTAATGTCATTGAAACAAGGGGACTCTTGAGTTATCTGTTCTCAGAAATGCAAGATCAAACACAACATGTGCTTGCACAGAAGAATGTCGGGAACACAGACCCACAGACCCACAGACACACACACTGCATTAAAACAAACAAACAAACAACTCTGTCCATAACACTTGGCACCAGGAGCCTGATGATAAGTGGAGAACAGAGAGGGGGAGATCCACAGATATCTTCATGATGGACATTCCAGCAGGCCCTGAAAATCTCTCAAATGTCTCAGAAAGTTCATAAAAATGGGAAGCAAGATGGCAAAGCACAGAATATCCCCCATCAGATCACTGAAGATCTTCAAGGAAAGGACAGTCCCAGTGAGATGAACACAGAATGAATGAATCAGGAAGGTGGGCTCTTAGACACACTGCCTGTTCTAGAAACTGGTTTCAAGTTGTTGAGTTTGACCCAAGTGCTTTCAATAGACACAAGTCATGAGTCTGTGAGGGCCTCCAGACACTGATTGGAGCAGAGGCTCAGAAAGGCAGCTCCCCCACAACCCCATCACTTGAGTGGCACTTCTTAAAAAACAGAGATGCCGTCATCCTGCCCTGGAACCAGAGAATGGCCAGCTGGGGGGACGGGGAAGCTGGGCACCTCTATTTCTCACAAGCTCCTCCAGTGAATCTGATATATGGCCAAGAATGGGAGTCACTGAATTAAAGCCATTAGGGGAAACCACTTAGCTCAAGTCAGAGATTAATTTACAAATGTCGCCTTAACAATTAGCCCATTAGAACATATGTACGAGGCCTGTAGGCTTTGAGAATCGTGCTAGGAGGACTCTAGAAAGTACAGAGAGGAGGATGAATTAATTCTCTCCTGAGCAGGTTATATATACATTCTGCTCAGCTCACAGCAGAACAAATGACCCTAATTAATGATTCCACATGTTTGATTGGGGCCTAGCCAGCTACTGGCAGCAGCAACCCCTCCAAAAATGGACTATTTTCTGCATATAATCCCAAAGGCACATCACTATTTTTTTTTATTGAGGTATAATTTATATACAGTAAAATTCACTATATAAAAAACAATAGACATGAGAACTCCCAAGGCAAAACAATGTG